ACTTTGCACGATCCCTGGGGAAGGAGCACGTGCCCACCCACGCTCCTGCCTCTGAGTCAGTTGCTGCCCAACTGCTCTTTCCCCTTTTGACTTGTGTTTCTTTAAACTGCTGAGCTTTTCAGTAGGAGATGTTCCTAAAGGTGAGAAAAGCAGTGGAAAGTGTTTGAACTTGGCAAGTGAAAGTGGAACGGCTCTGTGAGGACCCTTATGTACCCCACACACGTTCCACCCTCGCTGTGCAAGGTTTGCTCATCAGCCAGGCACCAGTGAGCTGTGAAAGGGAGGCTCTGCAGACCTGGAGCAGCTGTTCTGTGAATCCCCACGTCCTGCAGAAGCAGGGCTTGGAAATGGAGGGATGGAAAGGCAGGGGGATGTGGGGTCGGTGGTAGGTTGTACTGACAGCAACCAGAGAACAGAGGTTGCGGATTGAGCAGGAAAATAAATCATGGCATTATTGGAGAGGAGAGGTGGAAGGGGAGAGAAAGGAGGTGGGGAGCTGGGTCTGAGGGCAGAAGAGAGGCTGGAGGCATTGGCAGAGATCTCTGGTGCAGCTGCAAACCCCTCTGTTTTCAGCTGGGGCTGGTTTGGTGCAGACCCTCCTGGAGCAGTGGGGTGGGAGGGATCCCTCCATCTCCCAGGTGGAGCAGCAGCAGCAGGTGCCACCTCTCTGCTTCCCTTTGCAGAGTTCTCACCCACGCAAGTCAGCGAAGGACCGACCACCAGGACCCTCACAGCCTCGGTACAGGATGGGGAAAGTAAGCTGCTCAGCCTGCAGCAGGGACACCCTGCCTGAGGGCAGTGTCCCCTGCTGTCACCTGCTGTCCCTCTTGAAGCCTCTCTGAGCTGCAGACCCCCAAACCCCATCATTGTGCTGTCCATGGCCACATCCTACCCCAGAAATTCCCAAGCTTCCCAAGCCCCATTGCTCTAAAGCTTTGCCCCTTACCCTCTGTTTCTCACTCATTTCCTTNGCTGCCATCACTCTCCAAGCTGCACCTACTCCTTTCTGAGGAGATCTGATCCTTCCTCTTCTCCCTTGCAGGCACCACCTCTGAGCCTGAGATGTTGCCATTCCCAGGTGAGATTCTTCTCTGAAAGTCACTTTTCTCCAGGAAGTTTTGTAGTTGAAAAATGCATTTTTAGGTAAAAGAAAGGATTTGGGGAATTTAAAAAAGGAAATATATTGGTTTGGAACAAAAAGTGGCAATAAGAAGCTAAACTTTGTTTGTAGAAAGAAAATAAAGATTCTTTATCATCCTTATTCTGCTAATAATCCTGAGAGGAGAATTTTTCCTTAGAGGAGAGTTTTTTCACCTCCTGCTGAGTGTCTGTCCCCGTGCCATGTATCACAGACAAGTAAATAATTCCCTTGATGTGGTGGACCCCAGGCACTTCCATGCCTGCTCCCCATCACCAGCAGCCTGAGAGATCATCTCCATCCACCCCACCAGCTCTGGATGCATTCATTGAGGCTAATAAGAATTTGCTAATTGCATCTTGTCAATTGTCACCTATTTAAGTCAAGATGTGGTGCCACATGTCTGCTTTTTCCTTCACCCTTGAGTTTTTGGCCAGTAGCAGGGGAGATGATGGGAGCACCAAAGAGCCACAGAATGGTTTGGGTTGGAAGGGACCTTAAAAACCATCTAATTCTACCCTGCCATGGGCAGGAACACTTTCCATGAGGCCAGGCTGTCCAAAGCCCCATCCAGCCTGGCCTTGGTGATGGTGCATCTCATTCCTGGACTCAGATCTGCTGTGTGTCCACAGCCACAGCTGCCAGCAGATGGAGGGGAGCCCGTGTCCCACCAGCAGAGCAGCACCAAGCCAACTACTGCCTTGTGCAGGGGGATAGAATATAAGAAAATAAAGAATATAAGAAAATAAAGTGTAGAAAGTAATCTCACCCCTAAGGAGTTGCAGCTGGGCCAATTATCAAAGATTAGGAGCAGGCCTGACTTTAGGAGGCCGTAGCTGTGACCAGTGAAAAGAAGAGTGCTATAAAAGAGTGGGGTGGGTGGCTGGGAAGAGAACTGGAGTCAGCTGGCTGCTTTGTGAAGAACAGGGTCAGTACTCTGAGGAGAAACACCAAGAAGGTGTGAAACTCCTGTGATAAAGAGATGACAGTATGGAACCCCTGCAATAAGATGACAACAGCCTTGTGCCACAGAGAAAGGGCAGGAGATTGATGTAGAGATTTTCCTTAGAGGTTTTCTCTAAGGAGCAGGAGGAGTTTGGTGTAGATTTGCTCCCCACAGCCTGCTGAGGGAGCTCTGTGT